TTTTAGAAAAAGAAGACCAGAGGCGCTCACCTCTTTCTTCTTTTAAGAAGAAGAAGACCCAGAGGCCCACACCTCTCTTTTTTTTTACGAACAAGAAGAGCCAGAGGCCCACACCCTGCTCCTCACTCTTTCACACAAGAAGAGACCCAGACCCCCACCTCCTCTTCTCTCTCTCAGAGACAAGAAGACCCAGAGGCCCACACCTGCTCCTCGCTCTCACAGATAAGGAAACTCAGCTAATGCTGAGATTTAGAAGTGGGGAAAACAAGGTGGACAGTTTTACTAAACCTCAATATCCAGTCTGTCTTCAGTTTGCCCTTCTTGTGGGTATTACTGGAGGACATTCAAGGATATGCAATAAACAACAAAAGAATTATAATTATTTTCACCCATAAATAACTGTCTATATAGAAAAAAAATTTCCAGTAATAAAAATAACACTTTTTAACTATAAAACTTCAAACAATTTTAAAAGACAAAAAGTAGAAAGTAAAAGTTATTCATCTGCCACCCCCAAAGACATTTTATTTAAGAGGTTGACATATGAAGAATCTGGTCAAGATGGCAGCATAGGTAAAGGTGGTACTCGCATCCTCCCACCACCGCATCAAAATTGCAACTAAATAACAGAACAACCATCATTGAGAACCACCTGAAATCTAGCTGAACAGAAGTCCTATAACTAAGAATATAGAGAAGAAGCCACATGGAGTCTGGGGATTAACGGTGGAACAGATGAAGCAGAGGGTCAAATCAGCGATTTGGAAGATAAGAAAGCAGAAAATACCCAATCAGAACAGCAAAAGAAAAAAGAAGCCAAAAAAAATTAGGATAGTACAAAAAGCCTCTGGGATAACTTCAAGCAACCAACATTCCCATCATAGGAGTGCGAGGAGAAGAGCAAGTAACTAAAACCCCATGTGAAAAAATGATGAGAAAAACTCCCCCTCCCTGGTGAAAGAAATAGACTTACAAGTCCAGGAAGCACAGAGAGTCCCAAACAAGATGAACCCAACGAGGCCCACACCAAGACATCTTAATTAAAATGCCAAAGGTTAAGGACAAAGAGAGAAACTTAAAAGCAGCAAGAGAAAAGCAGTTAGTTATATACAAGGGAGCACCCATACAACTGTCAGCTGATTTCTCAACAGAAACTTTGCACACTAGAAAGAATTGGCAAGAAATATTCGAAGTGATGAATAGCAAAATCACTCTACCCAGCAAAGCTATCATTGAAAATTGAAGGACAGATAAAGAGCTTCCCAGACAAAAAAAAACTAAGGGAGTTTCTCAACACTAAACCAGTATCACAAGAAATGTTAATAGGTCTTCTTTAAGAAGAAAAAAAGACCCAACATACGAATAATAAAATGACAATAAATACATGTCTATCAACAATTACTTTAAAAGCAAATGGATTAAATACTTCAATCAAATGATATATGGAGGCTGAATGGATAAGAAAACAAGACCCTTATATATGCTGTCTATAAGAGACCCATTTCAGATTAAAAGACACATACAACTGAAAGTAAAGGAATGGAAAAAATTATTTATGAAAATGGAAACAAACAAAAGCTGGGTAGCAATACTTATACCAGACAAAATAGACTAAAACAAAGCCTATATGACAAGAGACAAAGAAGGACCCAGTAATTCTACTTCTGGGTATTTATCCCAAGAAATCCAAAACACTAAATCCAAAAAACTTGTGTCCATATGTTCATTGCAGCATTCTTTACAATAATCACAAAGTTTGGAAGAAACTTAAATGTCCATCAGTAAATGAAAGAATAAAGAAGTAGTGCATATATATAATGGAATGAGACTCGGCCATAAAAAGAACAAAATCTTACCATATGTGACGGCATGGATGGACCTAGAGGGTATTACGCTAAGTGAAATAAGTCAGACAGAGGAAGACAAAGGCCATATGATTTCACTTATATGTGGAATCTAAAAAAACAAAATAAATGAACAAGCAGAAAAGAAACAAACTCATAGATACAGAGAATACTTTGACAGTTGCCAGGTGGGAGGGGGGCTGCAGGATGGATGAAAAGGAAAAGGACTAAAAACAAATCAAAGAATTGATATGATAAAAAAGTTTAGCATATATCATTCAGAACCTTTGCTTCTATAAATATGCAAACTATATTTCTATATGAAGTGAAATACTATGTGCAAATTTTACAACCTGCTTGTCCAGCTATCAGTATATTCTCACATCTTTTCATTTGCATTTACACTGATTTACCTATTTCTTTTTAAAGGCTGTATAGTATTCCATCTTATAGATCAGGAGTGGGGAACGTCCGGCCCACAGGCTGCATAAGGCCTGCAAAATCAATTGGTCTGGTCCTGCCAAGGCATTAGGGGTGAGTTAATTAAATGTTTAACCAAATATAATAGGCTGATTTTTAAGTGGATAATTTTGTATGGCTCGTGAATTATGTTATAAATATCCAAATGGCCCTGGGCAGAAGAAAGGTTCCCCACCCATTATAGATGAAAAAATGTATTGGGCCCTCTTTACTGAGCCTGAGTCCTCCTCTGTAAAATGCGGCTGCCTAGACCTGAGTAAGGGGAGACGCAGTCTTGAGGCTGGGATGAGGCATGACCCCCTCACGCAGAGGTTTAAATGCTCCAACGGCGGCTAATTGACCATCCCTTTCTGCTCTCAATATGTGGCAGTCAGCAATATTTCCTTTTATCCTGTAATTACATGGATTAGCATTTTCTCAAGTTCAAAAGTCCCTCCAAAGACTTTGGAAAAAAATATTACATGAGCGTTTTCTAGTTGGTTGCTCTATCTTCTTCTGGCAACACCACATTGGCACTAAACCTAAATACGCATCAAACAAAACCAGTAGAATTCATGGAAATCAGAGAGGAAGTATCACTTTTCTCTCAATCAACACATATAGTTAAAAGGGTCCAATTTAAAATAGCGTAACTTGCCAGATGAGAATAAAAGATACTAGAACAGTTAAACTAATACTTCTGGTTTACTGTCATTCTTCCAAACATCTAAGGCATCCCCACTTCAAGAAAAAAATTTTGCCATTACACTGGCCTTTAACAAATCCTGTAAGACAGGAGGTGAACCAGGAAAGTCTGCATAACAACGTTAATGACCTATTCTGAGGATGGTGGGCCAGCAGCTGTGGAATGAGCTCGGAGCCCTTACCCCAGCAGCTCCTACCTTGTACAGCGGACGGCGCACATCGATGGGACAGTTCTGTATCACTTCGTCAACAACGTCCGAGATGGACTCCATGAAGTCTGGGTTGGCAAACTACATTTCACATAAATACAAAGGAAACATTACACACTTCTCTCAACAGGACAAAACAAGAGCACTTTTTAAAAAGTAACTTTAACAAATACAGAATTTACTATACCTTTAAGCACTTCACATGGGAATGAACAATACGTCAAGTGAATCCCATGTGACTGTGTGCACGGACTGATGACAACATACGCCCCCTCAAGAGATGAAATGTGGGGTTTAGTGAAGGAAAAATATGAAACAGTAACAAAAGCAGACCAGCCCTGCATCACAAATACAGTGAAACGTATGGTAAGAGACTGTAAAAAGCATGTACATGTGTGTGAAATAATGAAACACTATGAATATGAATGAGTACATCACTTATGAATACTAACTTATGAAAAAATTATCCAAGATACAGAAAATAAAAAAACATGGTCAATGAAAGGTCACTGTATGGTGGCTTTAAAATGTAACGACTGCCCTGGCCAGTGTGGCTCAGTGGTTGGTATGTCCTCCCATGCCATTCCCGGTCAGGGCACAAGCCAAGTTGTGGGTCTGATCCCCAGTCAGGACACACACAGGAAGCAACCAATCAATGTTTCTCTCTCACATTGATATTTCTTTCTCTCTCTCTCTCTCTCTCTCTCTCTCTCTCTCACTCCTCCCCTCCCTCCCTCCCCTCTCCTTTCCTCTCTCTCTAGAGTCAATGAAAAACATATCCTTGGGTGAGGATTTTTTTTTTCTTAATGTAACAATGCCCTGGCCGGTTTTGCTCAGTGGATAGTGTGTCGGCCTGCAGACTGAAAGGTCCCAGGTTCAATCCCAGTCAAGGGCACGTACCTCGGTTGCAGGCTTGATCCCCAGCCCTGGGTCCGTGCAGGAGGCAACCAGTCAATGTTTCTCTCTCTCTGTCTCGCCCCCTCCTTTCCACTCTCTCTAAAAAATCAATGGGAAAATATCCTTGGGTGAGGATTAACCAAAAAAACTTTAGCTTATTTAACTTAGGGAATTTAATCTGAGGAAACAGCATTGACATTCCATTTGAAACATGTTTTAAAAGTCGAAGGAAAGCCTTAATGTGCACTATTGCTGGGAGGAGGTCACATCCAGCCGCTCACCAGCTGTTCCCTGGGCATGGGCAGCTTTATGTCTATTTCAATCACTAATATCAAGGGCATGAGTGGAGGAGTATGATATTATTAGATTACAATACTGGACACATTTGTGCCATTTCCCAGTACATCTAAAAAAACAAGTAGTAGTTTACAATCTACCTATTAAATACAAACTGAATCAGGCAGGAAAATATACCAAAATATTTTTAAGTGCATTTTATTTAAATTTTAAAATGCTGCCCCTTAATTACTGCTTCCACAAAAGTAATAATTTGTGACTCCCAGCTAAAATGACGATAGCTGTGATTCTTACAGACGGCCCTCAGACACAAGCCTTAACTAAGCGTCAGCGGGGCCGCGGCAGGCAGGTGTCCTGGTTAGAAACTGGGTTAGGAAGGGCGATCACAAAAGATGGAAAGGGAACGGTTACATCATCCACTCTGACAGAGGCAACTTGCACGCGGTCCTGAGAGTAACTCATTTTCATATTAGTGTGCGATTCGTTTCAATTCCATTATCTCCTACTGCTCTTCAAACTTCTTCCTAACCACTCGCGGCATAATCAATGGTTCGCTATTTACAGATAATCGAGCCTATGGAGAGCAGGGGCACAGTCAGTCACGCAGACAGACGGCCCAGGGGCTGTGACCGTCACAGGGCCTGTGCGCACCAGCTTCCTCACTTAGCCGCAGCCAGTGATGAGAATCAGCTTCACACACACGAGGTGGCAGTATTCCTCCATACATGAAGTGCTGCAACGCCACAGGCAAGCACCTCACCTCGGGGTGGAAGAAAATCTCGGGGCCCAGGAACCGTTCGTAGCCCACATCCACCACGAACTTCTTCTGGTTGATGGCATTGATGCCTGTGTACTGCTTGATCCACTTCCCGGGGTCCAGGTCGTACTTGGCAAATTCCTTGACGATGTCAGGGCAAATGTAACAGTATTTCTCCTGCATGCACACACACAAAGACGTCACCAGGCATTAACAACCAACCCAGAGCCTCAGACAAACACCCAGTAACCCCAGCATTGAACACACCCCTGGACTGAGTCCTGCCCACACCCCTAACGCCAAGCCTCACGGTCGTCATCCTTCACACAAGGCATGACTACGCTTTGATGTTGGACCTGTGAAGCTGCTTGTTTCAAGGTGTCTACTAAGTATGTTGTCTCCATCACCTCTTTCTTTATTCCTCTTAGGCACCTACATGGCACCTGCCCCGGGTACCCACTACCATGGCCCTGGACCAGCTGGCCTGCACTGCAGCCCCGCCCACTGAATAAGGCAGACATGATGCCTGCCACGGCCACCGCCAGCTGTTACCCTGCTGTGCAGTCTGCCAGTACAGCGCGGCCATCAGCTGCACGGAGAGTCTTCACTGCTGAGGCACGAGTGAACAGACACACAGATCCCGGCCCTGGGGCATGCGCTCTGGCTGAGAGTCCATAACAAGCAGGTGACACGGCAGGTTATAGGTGGTAGGGGCCATGGAAAAAGAAGAGGCAGACTTATGCAGGACTGGACTATGCTGCTGGTGCTGCTGCTGCTGCTGCACGAACGTGCCCGTGGCTTTCACCTTGAACCACCAGCCTAGACGTGCAATGTTTCGTCTGAATCTGGCGATGCTCACTGGGCTCCTTGGGTGGGCACCTGTCCTTAGAGCTAACCTCTGTCAAGCTGCAGGTGGCACATGAGTACCAGCTTCCAAAAGTCAGCTTCCTGTGGGCAGACAGCAGAAGGGGGCACCTTGTACACAAGGAGTGAGACTGACAGAGCAGCTATAGATCACCATGGAGACACTCAAGCCATGCCCACTCAGGAATACGCAGGGACCCAGAATGGCTTCCGTGTCTCCAGGTGATCTGCACCTGCTGGGTCCGTCCTACTCCCTGCGTAGATGGTGCCCCCAACCCCAGGTGGGAAGGCAGCACATGGGCGCTCGTACACATTTTGGAAGAACCTCTGAAGGTGTTTTCTGCTATGAAGTTTGAAATTTCCTAGACTCCCTGAAACATATTCCAGTTTCACCCTTGACACTGTAACAGAATTGTGAGACTGGTGGGCAGGGTTTGTTTATACAAACTGTGTTCCCTGACAACAGAGAGTGAGCCATTCGACAGTTAAATCTACCGATGGAGACAGAAGCATTGAGCTGTCCTCAGAGGCCTGGTCAATTTCCAACGGCACCTCAACTGGCCTAGTGACAGCACGAAAGGCTTCAAGGGAAGGTGGGTGGCGTGTGCAGACCTAGACTGGAGTTCTGGACTCACGCTACGAGAACGGCGTGCCACGGTCCACACAGCCTCAGGCCTGCTCATGCCCATAGGCCACGGCCAGGGCAGTAACACAAGGCAGGCACTTCTGCTCCACACTCCCCAGGGCCTCTGCCTTCACAGAAACAAGTGAGGCGGAACCAACGGCAGGGCCCACAGCCACCCAGCAGGGCCAGTGCAGCTGATCTCGAGAGCTTTACCAAAGGAGTCTCTTTTCTCCTGACCTCTGCAGCCTCGACAGCCGGCTCTAATTCAAGGTCAGGATAGGACCCCAGAGAGCCAGTGAGTAAAGCCAATGCCACTGTGAGGACGAGAACGCAACCTCCTGAGCCATGCCACTCAGGAATCTTGACTGAGAAAGGGAAACTCACGCTCACCAGTCGACCCCTGAGTGTCAGAAACAAGAGGTTCCATTCTGATTGACATTTGTCACAGATATGGGGTGGCCAGGGAGCTTGGGTCAAATCTCCAATTTTTTTTTTCACTGAAAAAAGGCAAGGAAAGGAAGAGGGGAATTCTTGGGAAGCATTTTAGTCTAAAAGAAAGTCTATGATTCTTGGGTAAACTCTCCCCAGCTAGAAAGGGCTAAGTGTCCGGTCTGCCCGGGGCCGTGCTGTCCAGTTCAGCGCGCCCATCCCGGGAAACCGTGGGCCAGGACAGCGGGGCAGCTGGCCACCTGGCTTGCCGGAGCCCTGACCTACACCAGTGCACCCTGTTGTTACCCAGAGTGCCGTGCAAATGGGGGCCACCTCTGATGCTTCCTGTCCTTCAACCAGCAGGGTTCCCGGGAACTAAGCCGAGGAAAGCAGTGGGGGAGCGCCCCTCACTCCCCCTGCAGCTCAAAATGACAGGAGATGCTCAAGCTCATGGCACACCCACGCGAAATTCTTCTTCAAAAACAAACTAAATCCTTCTCTCTTCATCTACATAATAGTTATCCTTGCATTCCTAAGAATCTCTTGCATTTTTACTAGAAAAGTTCCCTTAAAAGGGTTTGTCAACTGAAATGGACAGTTTAGTAACAGACTAAACTGGTCAAGTGAGCACTTAAATATGTCCTGACAAGCCATGCTCCTTCTTATTGAATTGATTTCATTTTAAAGCTTCCTGTAACTTTTTTAGCATGGTGACTAGAGTCCAGAAAATACAAGTGGACTGTGTTTCATGATTCTCGAGCCTGGAATGACTTGTTCTGAACTGCAGTTAAGGGGGTGCAAACCACACCCAACAGGGATGGGAAACGAGTTTGACACTGGCCAATACCCAGGACCCCTGGCGTCACTGCTGCTGCTGCTAGTGCCTCGTCCAACCGTGGAGGGAGCTGCAGACGATCAGGTAACTGGAGGCCCTATCTAATCAGGCTCCAATTAAGTGAGGCTGCATCCATAGCACAGGCTCAGTCTGGCCATCAAGCCGTTCTCGTCTACACTGGAGCCTCCACGGCTGATGTTCCGAGGAAGGGCCTGAGCTGTCAGTCTTTCGGCCCTTACTGAACTCCAGCGGTAAACAGATCAAGACCCACATTCACGGAGAGGAAGCAGGGAGAGTAAGCGGGTGGGAGCGGGGTGGCGGCAGCGGGGAAGTGTGCAGCCCCATTTCTCCTCCACCCCAAACCAGCCCATTCCCCGTCCGTTTTTACCTTAATGGCTTTTGCGGTCTCCAGTGACTGCTCAGGAGGGATTCCCACCTCCCTCTCCCTTAGCAGCTGTTGAATGAAATACGTAATATCTCTACCTGCAATCGGGATGTGTTTGATGCAGCTTCCGATTACATAACCTTCCGCCTGGGAAGAGAGGAGGCAGAAGACTGTGTGAGCAATCCCAGGGGCTCCTGCCCTGGCGGCCCTGACACGCGATTACAGATCCCCACATGGCTCCTCGGGCGAGGTCCTTAAAGTGACTGCACTCCCAATCCCGTTACCATGACCTGCCCCCCCCCCCCCCCAGCCCCATAAGCAGCCAGAACAGTGCTTTCATCAGGAATGTGCTCGGAAAACCACATTCCAAAAACGGATGCTGCGTGTCGGAACCGTGAATCCAACCTCACTTTGTTCCTTAACAGAAAGCATTTTACCTGTAAGCTGCTAAGCCAACTATAAATCTACTTGTATTTAAGGATCTGTTAACATGCTTCAAGCCAGGACCTCTGCCCACAGTGCGGGGCAAATGACCCCTTGGGGTACAATACAGAGTCAGTGCAGTACGCAGCCCAGCACTAGCACTGTGAGGCCATTTACTAAGCACCCGATAGACAGCCCCGAGTGTGGGGCTAGGAGTGATTCTGTAGTTCCCTTAACACTGTGTGTCTGAGACCCGCTCACTGGGGGCCTCCCTGGACCGTGGCACTGTCTGCTGGTGCCAGGAACGGGCCACAGCCCAGCACCAGCCCCTCCCCAACCTTCCAGGGAAGCCACAGGCTGTGGCACACCCAGCTCGCCCGACAGGGACCGACAGTCAGAGTGGATCCCTCCTACCACAGTGTCACAGACAAGGACGTGGCACTCCAGTCCCCAGGACAGCACTGCTTCCGTGCCCCACGCCTGGGAAACAGGGGGCCCGGCAGGGGGCCGCTGACTGCACTCTGCGGTGAGAGCCACCGGCAGAGCCACGTGAGGGCGCGGACAGCTGCTGACCCCTCAGGTTTCTTTCCGATGTGCCTAACGTCTGGGAGTAAGAGAAGATGTGGCCTTCCCACAGTCTAAGTTATTTATAAAATATTTTAAGAAATAGGAAAAAAGAGGGAGATAAAAGATATGTCCAAATTATTAAAATAGTAAAGATCAACTTACAGTCCTAAGAATATCAGCTAACACAAACTATTCACAATTATTATACTCCCTGCATCACATCTAACACTTTCTAAAAGTAATCCAGCCAGTGTTTACTAACATGAGCTTCGTCTCAGATTCAAAACACTCGACACCCCGTCCAAGGACAGGCAGACAAGTGAATTAGGCTAGGCTCCAGGATGCGCTATTACATAGCTACTAACTATTTTCACAGAATACTCAGCCATAAGAAACACTACTAGGGATAGGTCGGTAAGCAAGCTGTAAAGTTAGGGTTGTGTTGTACAATCAGGACACAGAACCGGACACAGGATGCTCCAATTTCGCTGAAAACGTCACGCGTTGTGTCTAGGAAACGAGCTTAGAAGACTCTGCAACCAAAGCCACGGTGCGCTCTCTGGGTTAGTTCACGGGTATTCTATTTCCTCCTTTACATTTCTCCATTTCACCCTAATTTTGTACAACATGTAATTTTTTGGGAATACACTGAATTATGATACAGACAAAAATGTTAAAGCGACTCTCTCTGTGGGCCTCGACACCGAGTGAACCAGTTTTCCTTTCTCCTCCTCAACCGGAAACACGGGAGAGAGGGCAGCAGGCCCCCGCGCCCAGCGGTCCGTCTGCACTGGCCTCCGAGGGGAGGGCCTGGGAAGGGGCAGGCGCCGGGATCCTCGGTCAGCACTGCTCTCACGGCCAGGGCAGCAGCGCGGACACGCCTCAGCAGCTCCTACAGGAGCAAGGGGTGAGGCCAGCTGCGGGCTCCCAGCACAGAGAACACTGGGAGGGCGCGTGCAGTCCTGCCCGTCCCTCCGGATTCTGCTGCAGAGGGCACCGGCTGGGGGCACATCCACCCTTTACCTGTTCCTGGAGTTCTGACCCTGAAGGAATTAAAGCACGTGAGCATATCCTAGCTGCGACCTCCTGAAACGAAATGCTATTTTTCAATGAAAGTAAATGATTTGTTTTTTAAAAAGCCCTAATTTGTCTTTGCCAAAGGTGTTATACACACAGACACCTGTATATACAAACAGCGTGCTTGTAACCAACGTGGATAACCGGTAACGGCTGCGTCTGGGAGGAGGGCCTGGAGATCAGGAATGAGGGCCAGGTGACTCCCCTGGACACCCTCTCCAGAGTTCCCATTTCTTTTCAAAAACAACTTTAAACAATTCGTTTAAATAGTTTATGGAGGGTGGGGGAGAAACAGAAGTCTCTTAGAGCCCCAATTAGGAATCACTTCTCTAATATTCTGAAATGTAAAACCAGACAGCGGCACTGCAGACCACTCTGCAAACTGAAAGGTGCAACCCCTCCTCTCAGCTCTCACATAAACTCTCAAACCCCAGCAGCGCCTTGTCCAGAGCAGAAGCTGGTTAAAGCCACCCACGTCTTGTCCCGGAACAGAGAGAATCCTCTGGGTGGCCCAGGCTCGGAAGGTGAGCAGGAAAAGCCCCCAGGGACCATGACCTCATGACCCCAGGGGCAAGGCAGAGTCCTGCTGACCCCTCCCAATGGCTGCCGTTCGAACCAGAAGCTGCCCCTGCACATTTAAAACTGCGACGGCCACGGATTTTTTCTCCTCTTATTCCCTTGTCTAAGTACAGCTATGACTTTAAAAGTGGTATTTTAAGCAGAAAAGCTTTTTTTCCTTTAATTGTTCCCTTACCTCCAATCAGGTGAGTCCTGCAAAGAGAAGCACTGACCAGTCTGCTTACCACTGGGATGGCGTGGGTGACCCCGTCCCCGCTGTCGATGATGATGCCTGTCAGCGTGCGCTCGCCGACCTGCCGAGACGTCCACGACGCTGCCAAGGCCAGCACTGCCTGGACAGGACACAAGCGTCAGCACGGGGAGCGGCCTCAGGTCCTCTGCACGCTCATGCTCAGGTCAAGCAATCGGTCCTTCTCCCCGACTGAGGCTAACTCTCCCTCTCCATCCTTCACCTCCCCCCAAAATTCAAATCCCAACCTGGACAAGGACCATGTGTACTTAAACTGGAGGACTCAAGTTTTCAACAAAATAAATCAATTTTTACCCAAAAAAAGCCAGTGAGGTGGGGATTTTACTATGGAGTCAGAGGGTGGTGCTTCTCACCCACCGTTCCCGGTGCGGGTCCATGGACGGCTGCAGTTCACTGGCCTCACACCGGATACTGGTTCCCCACCAGGGCCGTCTGCCCCCGGGACACTGGGGAGGCCTGGTGCCGTGTCTGTCACACTTGGGGAGATCGGGCGGGTGCTATTTCTAGGGGGTCAAGGCCAGAGGCTGCTAACCGTTCTGCTCTACACGGGAAGCCCCAGCACAGAGAACTGCCCATCCTACCCTGAGCTGGAAACCTGGTCTGAGATGAATGCAGAGTAGGGTGTGTGTAAGTATGTGTCTGTCCTTCTGTGTGTGTCTGTGTGTCTGTGAATGTGTGTGTGTTTGCGAATGTGTCTGTCCTGTGTCTGTCTGTGTGTCTGTGAATGTGTGTGTGTCTGCGAATGTGTCTGTCCTGTGTCTGTGTGTCTGTGGATGTGTGTCTATCCTTCTGTGTGTCTGTGTCTCCATGTCTCTGGAATCACCATGCCGTCCTGTAGATATTAGACAGTGAAAGTCCTTTGGGAATCATAAAAATAACTTTGCTTTTACCTGAACTGCAATGTAGAGTCCTGGTACATTAAAAGATTCAAACATAATTTCTGCAAGATATTCTCTATTTTCTGGTGTGTTCAGCGGAGGTTCTGTCTGTAAGAAAGCAGTCACTGTGTTCAGTATTCACCCAGATTTCATGTAATTGCATGATCATCAGGATGCTGTAGAGCACCCTCCCTTTGCAGATGGCATAACCAATGTGGTTCCTTAAGAAACCTGGCCCGGCCGGCGTGGCTCAGTGGTTGAGCTTCGACCTATGAACCTGGAGGTCGGGGCACATGCCCAGGTTGCAGGCCCAATCCCCAGTAGGGGGTGTGCAGGAGGCAGTAGATCCATGATTCTCTCTCATCATTGATGTTTTTGTCTCTCCCTCTCCCTTCCTCTCTGAAATCAATAGAAATGTATTTTTAAAACAAAAGAAAGAAAGAAACCTGACTGTGGGGCTCAAAACCTGGAAGATGCAAAGACCTCTCTGAACAATGCTGCTCTTTGTGACCACCCAGACCAAGAACGAGTTAGTTACGGAGAAGAAAGCTTGATCTTTGATAACATAACACCTGAACCTCCTGAGACTAACCTGCAGCAAGTTGCCACAGGCAAGAAACACTCAACCAAGACTGTGAGGGCACCGGGAGAACACCAGGGACTTCAGATCTCAGAAGAAGGGCAGAGTTCTCCAGAGCACAGGCAGGCAGCCCTGCTTAGAGCAAGAGCCGATTAAGCGGGACAGCCGCAGACGCTGCCAAACCCCCTGCCACCAGAGCCCAGAGCAAGCTCAGACAAACGCCTTTGCCTCCAGCTGTGAGGCAGAACCCCAGAGAGAAGCGGCTTCACCCACACTGCCCCCTTCCCCCGACACCGGCCAAAACCACACACAGCTAGTCCAGGAAGAACTCTCCTCATTCAAAGATGAGGAAAGAAACTAGGCAAAGATATATAAAAACTAAAGAAAAAGAGAAAAGTCACAGGAAAAACAAATGGCAGACAAAAGACTCTTCCCCAGAAAAATATAAAAATAAAGCAGATAAAGATCAAAGACATTTCAAAAAATTCAAATATCTATCTACACTAATAAAAGCATAATATGCTAATTAGACCGGACATCCTTCTGGGCGTCCTTCCTTCCAGACAAAGCAGCAGAGGGTGGGGGCTGAGGCAGCGGCACCAGAGGCCCCCAGCTGCCGTGGCGGCGGGCGGGGGCCGGGGCCAAGGCCGGTGCATGAATTTCGTGCATCGGGCCTCTAGTTTTAAAATAATAGCCATGACCAAATAGGAGGAAATGACAGGATTACGGAGAGATAAAAAGAATAAATAGCCTGGCCAGCATGGCTCAATGGTTCCTGGTCAGGGCACATGCCTGGGTTGCGGGTTCGATCCCCAGTAGGGTGCGTGCAAGAGGGAGCCGATCAATGATTCTCTCTCATCACTGATGTGGGTTTTTTTTTGGTTTTTTTAATCCTCACCCAGGGATACTTTTCCATTGATTTTTAGAGAGTGGAAGAGAGAAGGAAAGACAGAGAGAAATATCGATGTGAGAGAAACACATTGATTGGTTGCCTCCTGCATGTGCCCCAACCACAGGCTGGGGAGGAGCCTGCAACCGAGGTACATGCCCTTGACTGGAATTGAACCCGGAACCCTTCGATCCTCAGGCTGACGCTCTATCCACTGACCCAAACCAGCTAGGGCATCGCTGATGTTTTTATCTCTCTCCCTCTCCCTTCCTCTCTGAAATCAATAAAAATATTTTTTTTAAAGAATAATAAACCTGCTTTTTGCCATTCAGTGGTATGATGTAAATTTTTCCATGTCAATAAGTATAGGTATACATCACATATTTAAAGCTGCAAAAGAAAAAAAAACAATAAATAAAAATTATCTGGGGGTGGGGAAAAAAATGGCGGAGGTTTAGACGGACGTGTCGGTGCTTTGTCTAGGAGCAGATAAGGGCGAGCAGCTGAAACGGGTAACATACAGCCCGAATAAGCAGAGGAGATTCAGCTGAGAGACAGTCTGCAGCCAGGAAAGACAGAGAACTCCTAGAAAAAGGGGACGGTTAGAGATTGAGGCTGAAACCTCCCCCCGGGCGCCGGCTCAGCCACGAGACCGCGCCATCTTGAGTGGCTGTTACCGGCATCCAGAGATCGGCTACTAACCCGGAGGCAACGGCTCTCAAGCAGCGCGACTACATGAACTCAGACGAGCCCTGCTTCTCCCCACGGAAAGGTTAGACTTCCCCCAAAGGTGCGGTTTGCAATTCAGGTTGGAGAGAGGAACGCGCGCTCGGGGAGAAATCTGCGCCCCACAAAGTCCGCGGCCGTTGGGGCCAGCGTGACCCCACAGTGGGGAAGGGCTCCCACAGGGCTGCTGGCAGAAGGGAACACTATAAATAAGCCCATAGTTGGACTGGATGCAAAGGGGCAGCCTCAGATTTTGCCAGCCGGCCGGCTACTTGGTGCCAGGGGCCAGAGCGCACGCAGAGACTCCGCGCAGATCTGGAAAGTGGAGCCCTGCGAGTTCGCACAGCTTCCCAGGCTCTTGTTTACACACTTCCTCTTAAATCTGTGCGTTTGATTGTTGAACCCAGTGCATGGGATTACCCAGTTGGGGTCACTAGCAGAGCCTGTAGGGGAAGGTTGTTTTTGGGGAGCCTGGGAAACAGAGCTGGGAGTGGCGACTGGGGAACCAGCTCTGGGCAGAGCTGGTTCAGGTACAATAGAGAACTCCTGGTCAGAGAGGACTTATAGCCTCGGAGGTCAATCCAGACACACTGCCACCCAGAGGCAGAGCCACGAACTGACTCTTCTGTAAATACAGATAAAGGCAGTATGGGGAACCAATACGGCCTGCCTTAAAATCAGGACTGTGGCTTACAACACGGAGGAACAGTGTATCAGAGGGAAATTCAATATTCTCCTGAATACCTGGCGTGCCAAAAAGAAGTGTAGAAGATCTGAAGCACCTTCATTACTGCACATTTTTATTTTTATTTTTTTAATTATTTTTTCACCTTTTAACTAAGAAACCATTTTTTTTCTTTTCTTTTTTTCATCAACTGATTTTACCCTTTTAATTACTACATTTTTATTTTTAACCAGTATTATTACTGCTACCATTTTAACATTTTTTAAAGTGTCATTTTATTTTCTCTTTATTTTATTTTGGGACTAATGTTCTCCATTCTATTTTCATCGTTCCTTTAGCAACATTTTTCTCTACCTCAATTTTGCCTCTGTGCTAAAACCCTCTTCCCCACTTTTTCCCTTTTGTTGTCCTGTTTCTCTTACCCTACTCCAGCTTTAGATTTTCCCTATTCTTTTTACCCCCTGTCAAAATTTCACCCTACTTATATATCCTATTTCCAATCCCCTACTCTAAATCCTTATACACCTTTCCCTTATCTTTCTTCACTATCCAAATTTTTTTTCTTCTTTTCTCTCTCTATTGTTTTATTGTTGTTTGCTTGATTGTCGAGTATATTGGGGGTTTTTTTTAGGATTGTTTGTGAGGTTATTCTGCTTATTCTTTTTATTTTTCTGCCTCCCCCCCCCACCCCGGTTATTTTTGTGCTTCTGTTTTCCCTTGCGTCGCTTGATATTATTGGTTGTTTGTAGTTTGTATTCATCTCCAGGAATCTGTTACTGGAATTTGTTGGGATTAGTGGCGGTTCTATAGGAGTTTTCTCCTCATATAAATAGTCTCTTCCCCTCTTCTACTTCATTCTCTTTTCTCTCTTACTTTTTTTTTTCTTCTTTTTTCCCCTCCCTTTTTCCAATTTCATTTTTGCACTCCCTTTTTTTTCTTTCTTTTTTCTCTTCTATCTTTTTCTCTTCTTTCTTCCTTATCTCCTAACTCTCTTAGCTCGGGTGGCCACCTTTATTTGGGGTTATTAATATCGTAAATACATTCATGTTCAGTGCCTGGTACGTTGTGCCTTGTTGTGTTGTATTTTGTGCTTTTAAATCAACGCAGCAGATCCAAGCAACAGCGGCCTCCTGATCACCACATGCTCTGTCTGGGGAACAGTTACTGTGTGTGAAGCCTCCCTCCACCAGCCAGAAGAGCTACCACAGCTGTGAACAGCACCCACCAGAGGACCTGCTACCAACGGAGGAGCAGCTGCTACCACAACCGCCCAAGGAGCAACCACAGCCCGAGGAGCCACTGCCACCCAGGGAGCAGCCACTGCCACCCAGGGAGCAGCCACGGAACGACTCAACGTCTAGATATGTCAGTGAGATCAAACATGGGTAGACAAAGAAACCCCCAAAGGAAAGAAAAGGAGGACTCGCCAGAAAAGCAGCTAAGTGAGACAGAGATATGCAACATGACGGAAAAAGAATTCAGAATAAGGTTCCTAGAGTACATGCACCGGATGTTCAAGAAGCAAGAAATAACATATGCAAGAAGCTAGAAGAAACAGGTTAAAAAATCAACAACTTAAGTAAGACCCAAGAAGAAATGAAGAGCGATATAGCTGCAATAAAAAATACCATTGAAAGTATCAACAGTAGACTAGGAGAAGCGGAGGACCAAATTAGTGAATTAGAAGACAAGGAAGCAAAACACACTCAAACTGTACTGCAAATGGAGAAAAAAATTAAAAGGCAGGAGGAGAGCCTAAGGGAACTTTGGGACAACATGAAACGAAGCAACATACGAATAATAGGGGTGCCAGAACAACAGAAAGATGAACATGGATTAGAAAACCTATTCGAAGAAATAATATCAGAAAACTTCCCTGAGGTGGGGAAGAAAAAAGTCACACAAGTCCAGAGAGTCCCAAACAAGGTGAACCCGAAAAGACCCACACCAAGACACATCATAATTACCATGGCAAATGTTCAGGATAAAGAGAGAATCTTACAGGCTGCAAGAGAGAGGCGGAAAGTAACATACAAGGGATCTCCCATTAGATTATCAAATGATTTCTCAACAGAAACACATCAGGCCAGAAAAGAATGGACGGAAATCTACAAAGTGATGCAAAGCAAAGGACTGAATCCAAGAATACTCTATCCAGCAAGGCTATCATTCAAAATTGAAGGGGAAATAAGAAGCTTCACAGACAAAAAAAGGCTAAGGGAGTTTAT